TCCATTTGTCAGTGGGTGAGAGGTGGGGTCACCCTGGACAGGTCTCCAGTTCATCGCAGGGCAACACAGAGACAAACAGGACAAACAACCACTCACACCTAGGGAGAATTTAGAGAAGCCAGTCATGTTTTTGGACTGTGAAAGGAAGCCGGAGTACCCAGAGAGTACCCACGCATGTTCAGGGAGAACATGCAAACCACATGCAAAAAGACCCCAGGCCGGGAATCAAACCCAGAATCTTCATGCTGCCAGAATTTGGTATAAATACATGGAACACAGGTGTGCTTTCTTTAGGAAAGAGGTCAGGAAGTGCTCTGTTCTGTACCGTGTTTATTGAACGACGTTGGAATTGAAGGAATAAAAATCTTCTTTCCCCAGAGTCGGCAGAAGATTCAAAGATAATCCTTTGAGTGTCTTCATTTTTATCCTAAAGATAAACTAGACAGAAGATAGACTACTAGTCTTCAACAATACTTACTTCTATGTCTCACACCACTAACGTAGCTAACAGGCATCTACCTGACTTTCCACATCAGTCGCTATCACATCTATTTCTGCCTCAGTTAGACTACAAGTTTTTATCGGTACGCATTTTTTTTCCTGACTTGTCTCTGGTAGGAGGAGGATGCTTTTTCCCTCCCTCCCTCCCTTGTCTTTCCTGCTTAGCTTCTGTGTCCTGTCTTATACCTGGCATATCATGAAATTCTGAAGATGTCAGGGGATTGTTTTGGCTGTTGTCAGGATACCCAGCATGTATGAGTGGATCTGCAGAGCTATCAACGTTCAGATTGAGATGTTAAGATAATAGAACCGTAAACTGGATACAATCATTTCACAGCTTTGCAGGTTGGCTGTGGTTCCTGGAAAGTTGCAGGACATTGACCCAGGGCTTCATGGACTTACTTTGCACACACTTATGCTCAGATTTGATTAACACACCTCTCATCCTTCTCAACCGTTCATCCTGCAAGATATCACGTTATCTGTGTTTACTAGGTGCTGGGTTTTTTTCAGTCTTAAACTGTATCCTGCTAAGGATAAAATATAAAATATGATTTCCCCCCCACACACAACCCCATTGACCTATTGTGATCCCTTTGGGGTTTTTTTAGCCTTGGGCACATGTGAATGATTTATGAAGGAAATATACTTCTTGTTTTACTTGTGCATGTTTGATAACCCTAAGATAATTTTATATGCGCCTTTCTCATGGGAATACAAACACTTTTAGTGTAGATCCCACCGAATATTTCATAAATGAGGCCCAAGGTCCTGAAGACCAGGATTGAAGGAACCTCCAATCCCACATCACATTTAAATAAAATTGATGCATTAAATATGTTACGGTTTTCTATAAACGATACTGTATACCAAAAGGTTTCTGTAAGGCATTCATGTCATAATTAGATTTACCTCAAGGTAGTCCTGCTTCACAGTCTCCCCTGTTTCCATGGTGTATTTACATGTGAGGTAATCCAGAGCCATGGTGGCAATCCCATGTGAGGCCAGTAAAGCTGCCCGGTACTCCACCAGCTGTATCCCACCGCCCCACAGGTCCAGGAGACCAGGAAAAGGTCCAGGTCCTTAAAACAAACCATAGCAATAAAAACGGCTCTTTCATTTCCACAGTTTTCTCTGTCAGAAAAATGTATGTCACCTGTAAATAAACTGTTGTCTAAGAAACACTTTCACACTAAGAAACACTTTAGTTTCCATCTTTTTGTCAAAGGCTTTGTTCTGGTTAATCACATTACAGATTCTAACAAGCTGGAACAATATATCTTCAATCATCTAATCTAATGGGATCTGGGGGTTTCCTCCATCTTTGATTAGTGGATTTCACAAAGTTCTCTGGAGTTCCTAAACCTCAAGGATGCCTGAGTGACCGTTTCCAGAGAGCTTGTTTTTCATTAGGTCATTAGTTGATGTGCTGATTTTTGTGAAATTTTGTTGGACAGCCAGTAATCAAGTTGGATCCCAAAGGAGTAAATCATGATAATCT